AGGACATGAAGGTCTCCTACTTTCTTAAGAGATGTTATTGCCAGAGAAAACACTGTTTTTCATTCTTCTGGAACAGATTCCATAAGCTTAAACAGAGCCATAGACAGACCTTACACAACAGTGGCCAGATCCCAGGCTGGTTACCCTCTTGCCGCTTGCAGGCCTCAGCCTTGAAGTACCATGGAGGAAACGTGACACCAGCAGGTTTCTTCCCAATGACTCACCAACCAAAGGTGTCTGGTAAGCAGCTATGGCTGCCATGTAGACCTTTAAAGTGGAGGAACCTCCTGCAGGAACTCCAGCACTGAACTGATCAGGCAATTAACTGGGTCCAGCTGGCGATTTCTGCACCATAAAGTGAAAATAGTCCACTTCAGGGCATACAGTTTCCTCATGGAGGGAGCTCTAAAGTGAAGTATGGTCTCAACAACCTCAGTTGAAAGACCTATGAAAGTCTATAAGTTGGCCCCCCTCAGAGGCAAAACCCACAGTTGACACAAATATGGGCAAAGGTGAAGAATTTTATCCCCTGCCTGATACAAAAAAAGTGCCTCTTGAAAGTGACAATAGTGATGTTCATTTTGATTGTTTTTCCTGACAACTGATGCTTGTTAACTGATCAACCATTACATGGCAAGATTGTGATCTACTGTAAAGACCACACGTTTTTCCCTAGAGGTTTAGTTTTAAATGCGCAAATAGCAGCATAAACAACAGAACATGAGGATTCACACATCATCACATTACGCATCTGCAGCACTTTTGTGAATGGAGAAAAACAAAATTAAATTAAATATATAAAAGGAAAAAAAATATAGAACTATATGAAATATATATTTACAGAAATAACCGATTAGCAAAATGAAAGGAAAAAAAAAACTGTGACAAATATGCATTAAGTTTTGGTTCATTTTTTGTGACATGTTCCACAAACAAATTCACAGAAACCATGATGGCAGAAAGTGCATCCTGTATGTTTTCTTTATTTTACAAAAGCACAATGTTTTGTTTTTATTGTTAGTGGACACAAATAAAAGTATTTACAGTTTTGAATGATATCTTACTCTTATCTGTACAACCAAACGTGATGAAGTATTTTGTTTCCAATGTTTGTTGTCAACATGACCAGTGTCTGAAGCATCTTTTGGACCGTGCAAGCCTTGACGTCAAGCAGAGTGCCCAGAAGTATAAGAGGGCACCTGTAATGCACGCAATCAACTTATTTTATTTTTTTTTTGTGTACGTGTGAAGGATACTGTTATTGAGTAGAACTCTGCGAAACATTTTAGGTAGTGTGTGCCTCCATTTGAGGACCTGAGGACATGCATGATTGATGCGTTTTTTTGTGATGCGTTTTTTTTATTCAGTTTTCGAGGAAACTGCATGTGCTCATTGTAAACATTTCTCAGTGGTAAAGAAACCGTTTGCACTGTCCCTATTCTCATGGGATGTGGGATGTTCAGACTCTTGGGTGGAACACCTTCAACTTCTAAGAGAGACCGGATGTGCCAGGTATGATGTATTCGCAAGACTGACTGAAAGAGACAGGTAAGAAGATTTTCTTTTAGGTTCTCTTCTGAGGGATCGTAGTCAGTGTTTACTCGAGCATGTTAGGCTCTCAGGGGAGTCAAAGGCTCTCATAGCGACACATTCTATATTGTTCTTGTAGGTTTCTTTAAAAAGTGTTCGAAGCTGATGCTTAAAGTAAGCACGCTTAGCTTTTGAGGGAGTTAAATGCATGTTGTGTGATGTGGTCATAATAATGGGTTCTACCTGGGCTTGAGTCCTGAGTAGGATGTCCCTTCTCATAAGCAAACGAGTTAGGGTTCCTCACTCCCTCTCTTAAGCAGAAGTTTATCAATGATATACCTGTTAAAGAATGGTTTCTTTTGATTGCTATCCCTTTTTATGAAAATTGTAGCAAGATACCCCTCCCCAGTGATTTTGGGTTTTAAGTAGGGTTCCTTGCTCTCTTCTTAGGAGCATCTCAGGTCGGGCTGCCTCCAATATATTTACTGTGGCCCAGCTGTAACATCATCAAAGTTACTAGCTGTCTAAGGACAGTTACCTCTGTCTGACAAGCTGCTTTTTGGCCAGGTGAAGCAAGAAGTCCCTCACTAAAGTGCAGTATGAATATTGAAGTAGGGTTTCTTGCTCCATTCTCATAATACATGCAAGGTTGGGCTGCCTCCCCAGAAATGGTAGCTGTCTGAGCATAGTTTCCCTTTGATGAGCTGATCATTGGCTTGGGCTGTTTCCCTTGTAATTAGAGGGTTTCATGTAGATGGCCCATTGTCTTTAGAAATTATAGCTGTTTGAGGATAGTTGTGTTCCCAACTTGGCTGAATGGGATATCCCTTCCTAAATATTATGTGTTGGTTGGGTTCCCCATTTGCCCTAAGGTGTTTTAGCTGTCTGGAGCATCATTGGCGTACCCCTTTTTGAATCGGTTTGCCTACTTCTTTTGGTGCTCTCTCACCAGGTGGACAAGCATGCACCGCAGCATGGCACAGTGGCTATTTTGCTCCCCATAGTGTTCACTAGAGGCAATGTGAGTTCCCTTGAAGGGGAATGTCTCAGGCTACGCAAGTAACCATGGTTACATGTTTAACCCGAGACGTTTGGATTGATGTTTATATAGTTTTACATTTATAACAAATGCCAATATAAATTGTTTTATTTTATAATTGTATTCTACAATTTTATAGCTATTCATGTTTTTCATTCTTGTTCACCTGTTCGTATTCAGTTCATTATCTTGCCTACTTAAATTCCTCTGTTTGTCTTCGTTCTTTGTCCGTTATTGTTACATTGCTGTTTTCCCTGTGGCTCTACCTGAACTTGTTTTATTTAATAAATACTTTTGTTTTTGGAACTTTGTTGCATCTTCCTTCATCTTTTGACATCATCTTTTGTATTTTACATTATTTCTGAATGTAACAAATTGCACTTTTTTTTTTTTTTTGCAATATTGACTGATATGTCTAACCAGCTTCTTTAAATGACCTTTTAACTGTTTAACTGATAGTGTTAATTGGTAAAAAATTCTTACTGTCGGTTAACTGATTATTAATTAATTATTAACCGACCATTAATTATGGTCATCCCTAGATGCCACATATTCTTCATTTGAAAATGTGTTGCCAAAGGTAAAGTATTCTGTTTATTGTGTATAATATTAATAAAGTATTGTTGTATAATAAATACTAGAATAATTTAATTGTTTGCAACAATTATGAGGTTAGCGTGATTTTAATGTACAATCAATATCTCTTCCTCCTTTATGAGATTAGCCTTCTTCCTCTTCTTGGCCGGGTTATGTTTCTCCATGTTGTAAACTGTAGGGCTAAGGCTTCTAAATCAGGGCATTTTTAGGGGCGTGATTTTGACAACTATTTTCAGCTGCCACATTTATCAATATCGGATCTTTTGTATGATGGGATACAAATGTTTCATGAACCACACGTGAACTCTGTCGTAATTTGATCTGTTTGCTCATATAAATGAGGGCCAAGGAGAGCAGCTTGCCCTGAGACCACAGAAGGATCTGATGTGCCCCTTTGTAAAGTGGATGCAACCACAGACTTCCCTGGTGATTTATGTAAGAGACCACCAATGTGTTGTCTGTGCGGACAAGCACACGATGACCCTTCAGGTCTGGGAGAAAGTGCTTCAAAGCTAGAAAAACACCTTTCAACTCCAGTCAGTTTATATGCAATGAGCACTCACTCATGGTCACTCCCCAGCCTGTGAAGTATGTGGCTTTCGTAAGCATTGCATGATGACAAGGAGCTTCCAGCAAGAGACCCTGGGACAAGAACCGATATTTCTTCCACATAAACAAGGTACAAAGTCACCTGCTCGTAACCTTGATCATGCAGAATGCCAAAATGTATCACGTTGGATGCAGCTGCCATCAGACCTAACAGACTCTGCAACTGTGACAGTGAGTGACTGGCCTAGCTTTAGCTAATTTATGGCTGCAAGGATTGAATTGATATGAGCGGGAGACAGACTTGCCTGCATCATTGTCGAATCCTTTACCGAGCTTAAATAAGTAGTCCTCTGTATTGGACAAAGCACACTTTTCTTGGTGTTCAGCCTTAACCGAAATTTAGTTGACACAGATCTCTCTCAGGTGAAGGAACTCCTTTTCTAAGACCGTCTACAGCTCTTGTTCCATTACCAGAGACAGCTCAGCACCCACCACTGTGGGTAGGACCTTGTTGAAACAAGGGGGAAGAGAACCATATCCCATTTCCGCAACATTCCTAGGCAGAGACTGGACCAAAAACTGAACCAGAAACCGCTGCGCCCTGAAATACCAAAGGTGGTGGGGTTGGCTGATTGACCTCCCAAGGACACTTCGCAGGGGCCTGCTATCAAAATCCTGAGCCCTGCAGCATTATGACTGAAGCCCTCTTTGAGAGGATGATGGTCCTCAGACCCTGCATAAAGTTTCCTCCCTGCATTTTCGTTGCATACCCGTAATACAGCTGCTGCCTTGGCATCGGGAGATCCAAGCCTCTTAATTCTATTTTGCTTCCCTTGAGAAGAAACACCAACATGGGCGGAGCTATATATGCAGAAGCGTTCCCAAAGAAACACTACTTCTGATGCAGCACAAGCACCCTTGAAAGGGAACCAGGAACTGAAGGAACAAGATGGCTTCGGTGGCCATCATTTAGGAGCAGATATCTGGCATATAGGTGAAGAAGCACTGTCTATGACATTGAAACTTAGAAACTAAGACATTGTTTCTTACAGATAGATATTGTAAACATGCAATTCAGAGATTGTTTTTTTCAAGATCACTCTGGCCAACCTCAGTCACCTGTACACGTCTTTGTGCTAGCCAAATAATTTATATCTTCTGTCGTTGTTATGTGCTTGTGCAATAGTCAAAATAAGTGTGCGAAGTGTGGTTAAATGAAGCGTGGTTAGAGATGAATCCATCCTTGTCAGGTTTTTAACCCATCTATTTTCTTCTTTGTTTTCAGAAATGGAAGAATATGTGGCAACATTCAAAGGTTCAGAATACTTCTGCTATGATCTTTCTCTGAACCCGATCCAAAGCAGCAGCGATGAAATCACGCTGTCATTCAAAACACTCCAGAGAAATGGACTGATGCTTCACACGGGAAAATCTGATGACTATGTCAACCTGGCGCTGAAAAACGGAGCAGTGTCTCTTGTCATAAATTTGGGTTCTGGGGCGTTTGAAGCTCTGGTGGAACCAGTCAATGGAAAATTTAATGACAATGAATGGCATGATGTAAAAGTAACAAGGAATTTGCGTCAGGTAATAGAGCTACAGGAGCTAAGAGGGCATCAAACCGATGAACAGAGTAATGATTTAGTCAATATAGCATTACATGCGTTAGATGAAATTATCACTTTATATGGTATTAACATTACCATAGAAATAATTCCTAAGAGCCAAAAGTACCTCTTTTAAGCAGGGTCAAACTTATTTACCTATTATCTTGTTTGTATCTCTTGAAATGTCTTCTGAAAAGCATGATTGTCTGCAGGCATGGGTGCTAGATAGTATAGAGCAGGGTGAGCTCTGCGCTTGGAGAGCAATCTTCCTGCCATCTTCAGTTCCAACCTTGCTACTGTAAATACCTGTCATTTTCAATTAATCCTGATCTACTTGGCTAGCTGGTTCAGGTGGCTTTTATTAAAATTGGAGCTAAATTTTCCAGGACAGGACTTTCTCAAGGAGCAGGGTTGGCTACCCTTGTAAAATCAAATGTATTATTTATTAATAAGTTGCTTATTTATAGTTAACTCTGCACAATACGGCAACAGGCCAAAGTTTTTTTTTAAAATAGGACAAGAAATAAACAAAAATATTTTTGCCTATGCGTTTAACAACACCTTGCCTTTAGGCCTTCCACAGTAATTTCAGGCACTGTTCCCTGGAGACATTCCAAAACCTAATGAGTTGCTTGGACAGCATGTTTAATCGTCATATCCGCACTCCAAATTGGAACATGCACATGCATCCTTTATAACAACCCCAGAATGGACTTTGACAAGCACAGTACACCCAATATCTGTTATGTGTTTTATCTTAGTAACATGGCAACACTGACCTAACTGTAAATTAGATCGGATTTCTTGTGCACTTCACACGAGAAGCAATATTGGTATGGCATGTGTGAGTAACTTTTAACAAAGATGACCTTGATGGCTGTGGAAAAAATTTGCACACCCCTGTTCAGCTTTTCGAGATGTAAAAAATTATCTATTTAAAAATCATGTTTTGATCTTTTTCCATCTTTTTGTTCAATAATAAAACCATTCAAATTCATGTAAGAAGCAAACAGAAACTTTTAAGAAATAAGGAAAAATAAAAACCTAAAATTATGTTGTTGTATGAATATACACACTTTTTTTTATAATAAGACATGGTACTCCGTTTGGAATTAACCACATTCAAAGTCTTACTGAAAAGTAATTATAATAATTCAGACATGATTTGAGGGATTCTGATTAACTCGGAATAAAAATCAGTAGGATTTTCTTGAGCATATTCTTGTTTTCATTTTACTGCCAAAGACATGGCCTTCAATAATAATACAAAGTGTGTGCTGCTTCTCTTCTGTTGGAGCTGGGGCAGTAGACAAGATGTACTCTAAAAAAATCTGTCAAAATAGGGCACAATATCCTATATAATTTGAAGGAATATTGTGTATTTATTTTTTACAGGTGTTTTTACCAGAATTTTGAATTTTACTCTTCATTGCATTGTGTTTTAGGGTTAACAGAAATGTCCGTAAAATTAATGGATAATGTCGTGTGTCGTGAGCTGCCAGTACTTTTTCTGTTATTTTACAAATTTCTTTTTTACAGTGTAGCATGAATCACGGAAAGTCCCAAATACCAGAATATTTAGGCAAAACTTGCAGGCCTCCATTAAAAACCTGAAGCTAAAAATAGGAATTTCAACTTTCAGAATGATAACAACTGAGTAAATACAGCAGCAATGGCTTCAAAAACAAACAAACAAAAAAACAATCCTTGTGGTATAACTTGAACAGAGATCCCTCTGCAATATGACCAATCTGGAGCTCTTTTGTAATTAAGGAAGAGTGGTAAAACATTGACAGATTAGGATGTGCTAAGTTGATATAGTCTTATTTAAAAAGAGCAGTTTGCTATATTAAAATCAAAAGGTTGTTCAATCCAGTATTAGTTGAGATGTGAGAATTTTCTTTTTTTCTTCCCCCCCCCCTCCTAAAAGTTTGTATTTGTTTGTTACATGAATTTAGTTGATTTCAATAGAACATTAAATGTGGAAAAAGATCTGACATTATTTTACTTGGATTCATTAAAAGCAGGAATTTTACAAACGGTGTTTATACTTTTTATATCCACACTAGGTTTTGGAACAGGACCATGATGTCCATTTTTTATTGTAAAATAAGTATCAACTAAATAGCAAAGATGGGGCCAGATTTACTAAACAGAGCAAATTAGCACAAGACAGCAATCCCATCAAAGTGCTGATGGGAGTGGAAAGTTCTGTGGGTGATTTAATAACCAAATTAAAGAGCAAAGATGCAGCCATCTCATATCCATAATGACTAGTACAATCTAGCAAATTAGCAACTATTGCAGCCATGTCAATGGCAAAATGAGTTAAGACATTTTTTTGAGGTGCGTTACATAATGGTGCAAATAACAGTAAACTGACTACTGCAAACCTTAGTAAATCACCTTGTATTATTCTTTTAAATACTCTCCTCCCATAAAATTTTGTACCCGAAAGTGAATCTCCTACAAATGCATATGCAATAAGGTCAGCCGCAAAAATAACCTTTCGCACCTCTTCAGCTAATTTTTCACTGCGTGTCTTAAGATGGTTTGTGCTGCCACAAGATGTTAGTAAATCTGGCTCATGGTGAATAAACAAACACAGCAAAGTATACACAATGAAAATGAATGACACTTCAATTTAATAAAGCAATAATCCACGAGAGGCCTTGTTTATGATTATTTATATTAAGTGGCCCTAACTACTATGTACTTACATTTAAATGAATGAATGCACTTTTTGCGCACGTTTTTACATTGTACTTATATATTTTTTTTTTAAATAACTGCATGTAATTACATCTATAATTCATTTCTGTAACTACATTTATAATTACACTGTTGACCCATCCCTTACACCTTAACCCACCCTTAAACCTACCCAATTACTAACACCATTTTTGTGTCTGTCAATTAATTTTAAGTTGCTATGGGGCATTACTAACACATTCTTTTGTTTAATACATCAACACGTGATTACATTTAAGTAAATTAAGTCTTCAAAGCTATCCCTTCAAATTTATGCAAAATATCAAAGAAAAAAGAGACATAAAAATGGGTTTTAGACTAAAACAAATAAAGGAAAAATGTCTGTTTTACTGAATGTAACCCTGGTTCCCAAAGACACTGTGTAATGCCAATGGGGAACATGAGAGTGGTCACAAGGTCTGACGCCCTTTAGAATCACACCAACTCATTGGTTGATGGTGCTAAAGTGCCGCTCATAAGGAGCTGCATAACAGCTCCCTTATAAATGTGCCCTTGGTGCCATTGATTTTCTGCAAGATGCACAAAGCTATGCAGTAGGCCATTGGCTAGCTCCATTGGCTATACTGTTACTGCATAGGTTTGTGCATCAGAATGTGCCAAGGAAGTGGCTGGTTTGTCTCTCTTATTGCGAGGGTGCACGTGTTGGAAAATAGCTGTCTGCTTTTTATTGAACTGATCTTCTTTACCACCAGCTAAATATTGTCACCAAAGAGCCCCGAATTAGGCATGGCCACATCCAACAGAAAGGCTTTGTCTCTGTCTGTAATATCACAATCATTCCCAAAGCCTTATTCACAAGAGAATTGGTCAGTGGTCAGTTCAGCATCCAGATCTTGAATAGGAGACACATGTCGTGCATATCATCACTGACAATGAAGTGCGTGCTTTGAGGGAGAACTCACTGAATATCATCTTGTCACTCGAAAGGGGAATAACTCACTTTAAGGTGAGCGGCTAAACAAAACAGACTGAAGCTATAATGCACAGAAAATAAGAAAATCTAATGGTGAGCCTATTAAGGTGCTGGTATGAAGCTCCTTCGGACTCATACAGGCACCATCAACCAATGAATTGCTGTGATTCTATAGGGCTTCAGATGTTGTGAGCACTTACAGGTTCCCCATTGCGTTATTACGCAGCATTGTGTATCTACAAAAGAAACAGAAACAGAAATCCAGACAGTAGCAAACTGGCATCTGTATATCCTTTTTCCTGTGGTTTGTTCTTTAGGTAACAATATCTGTGGATGGAATACTGACCACCACAGGATATACTCAAGAGGACTACACCATGCTTGGATCTGATGACTTTTTCTATGTTGGAGGAAGTCCTAGTACAGCCGACCTGCCGGGATCACCTGTTAGCAACAACTTTATGGGCTGTCTAAGGGAGGTAAAGAACCTGTTATAAGATGTACAGAGGAAGCTTTAAAAAGCATTATAAAGCTTTTCTTTGTCCAATGTTAATAGATCCATTGATATCAAAAGAGAAATAGTCTAAATTGTGTTTGCAGAACAAACAGATACAAATCGTGTTTCAAATTATTTCTGTTCAATTGACATTGTTTTATATTTATAGGTTGCGTATAAAAACAATGAAATTCGACTGGAGCTGTCCAGACTGGCCTTTAAAGGCGACCCAAAAATGAAGATCCATGGAGTTGTTGCCTTTAAGTGTGAGAATGTTGCCACATTAGATCCCATCACTTTTGAGACACCAGAATCCTTCATCACGGTAAAGAACCTGTTATAAGATGTACAGAGGAAGCTTTAAAAAGCATTATAAAGCTTTTCTTTGTCCAATGTTAATAGATCCATTGATATCAAAAGAGAAATAGTCTAAATTGTGTTTGCAGAACAAAACAGATACAAATCGTGTTTCAAATTATTTCTGTTCAATTGACATTGTTTTATATTTATAGGTTGCGTATGAAAACAATGAAATTCGACTGGAGCTGTCCAGACTAGCCTTTAAAGGCGACCCAAAAATGAAGATCCATGGAGTTGTTGCCTTTAAGTGTGAGAATGTTGCCACATTAGATCCCATCACTTTTGAGACACCAGAATCCTTCATCACGCTTCCTAAATGGAACACTAAGAAAACCGGTTCTATTTCCTTTGACTTCCGCACCACTGAGCCCAATGGACTTCTCCTCTTTAGCCATGGGAAACCTAAGCAACAGACAAAAGAGGCCAAGAGCCTTTTCACACAGAAGGTAGACTTTTTTGCCATTGAGATGCTGGATGGTCTTTTGTATCTGCTTCTGGATATGGGATCAGGCACAACCAAGACACTGGCTGTGAACAAAAAAGTGAACGATGGAGAGTGGTATCATGTGGACTTCCAGAGGGATGGAAGATCAGGTAACATTTTGCTGACTTTTGTAGCGTTAGTAACAGGAGTGTATTTCATTGGCTGACTATGGTCACATAGGCCATTGTTACAAACATAGTTCAATGATTTGGTGTTTCCTGAAACTACCATTCAAACAACCATTCACAAAATGTTCCATTCCATTGTGTGGTTGGAACTACAGCTCTCCACCTGTGGTTAGAAGCATGGTTTGTTTTTGGTCTGTGGTGCCCTATACACCTTACATGCAGAAACATATGCACAGAGATATACAGCAACAACAACAAAAAAACAGAAATAGCAGTAGTAAATTCACTACTATTTTGATTTGCCATCTTTCCATATATATAGGAATAATTGACTCCGGGCCGTTGAATTATTAGAAAAATAATGCACACCCGAGGTGTAACGGCCACCTCGGGTGTGCATTATTTTTCTAATAATTCAACGGCCCGGAGTCAATTATTCCTTACATATATAACCTTAAAGAAGCAAAAGAAAAAAAACTGCTCTAAAAGTAAACATGGATTTAAAATGTAAAGATGTTTTCAATGAGCTGTTATTAAGTACTGTTAAAAAACAAATTGCATGAATGCACAGTGCAATTCTGATTTTTCAGAATACTCTGGAGCATCGCCCCACCACAGTAGATTTGTTTGCTTCTTGCTTTATACTTTTCGCTCACTGTAGACAGAGTTGTTAGAAAATACTCCCCCTCCCTACTTCCCTCCTGATTCACTGTCCTGCAACAAAGAGACACAACATGACAGCTGAAGACAGCATATTTTTTTGATTTGCATCTATTTGTTAGTATTTTCTCATGGCTAAGGCCTGGAAATGTCACACTGAAAATTAGATTTGGCCTCCTGCTGTGTTTTCCATTCTGTCTTGAAAGCTGATAATTACTGTACATGAATTGTTTCATTACCTTGGCTTCACGCTGTGAGTGAGATATGACTGACACAGGAGCAGTGACCTCACATGGGACTAAATAGCAGGTAGTCTGTGAAAACTTGGTTTACATAAAAACATAAGGAAGTGCTAAGACAAGTATGCATGATATGTCTTTTCTCATGAGAGCAAACATACATGTGTATGTGCTATAGAATCAGCTAATACATGGGTTTAGGATTACTTGCAGGCAGGTGTTTTGAGGCAGGGTTTGAACTGAATTCTGCAAGAAGGTAGTGTTCCAGGAGCAGGGCTGGATACCCCTGGTATCTGGGCATATACATTGACAATAAATTGATATTGAATGTTTAAGTAGAAAACATTTGTACTAGAGTCCAACAGCTTTTGCTGCTTCTTGTAATTGTCATGCTACAGTGTCTGGAAAACACGCACAAAGAAGATGATGAAGTGAATAGTCTTTCATTAATCCACAAGAAGGTAAATCCACACACAGGCAGGCAGGTGACACACGTAAACACAGGATGTACATTAACAATACCTGACAAAATCAAACTGAAACGACAGGAACTTAAGTACACAGACCAAACAAGAATAATTAACTAGACACACCTGAACTACCTTTTGAAATACCTAAGCTAAAGTCTGTTATCTAAATTATTTGGTATGATCACCTCCTATAACTTACTGAACCAGCAAACTATCCAATGAGTAAAACCAAAAGAAAAGCCAAAAAAAAAAAAACCTTCCGAATACCGTTGCGTTGCAGTGGCTGTAACGAGACACATGACGATGGATTCACAGTTCTAGAAAATATCCAGGGAAACACAGGAAAAATAGCAACCACATAAACTGAAACATGACTGAACAATGAACAAAAGAACAGCTTAAAGTAGCGCAATGACCATATCCCAAATATCAAAACTCAAAATATGTCATTTCTATACCTAAAATGCATATTTTACAGTCACTGTTATGGACATTCATACCCCTGGTATCTGGGCATATACATTGACAATAAATTGATATTGAATGTTTAAGTAGAAAACATTTGTACTAGAGTCCAACAGCTTTTGCTGCTTCTTGTAATTGTCATGCTACAGTGTCTGGAAAACACGCACAAAGAAGATGATGAAGTGAATAGTCTTTCATTAATCCACAAGAAGGTAAATCCACACACAGGCAGGCAGGTGACACACGTAAACACAGGATGTACATTAACAATACCTGACAAAATCAAACTGAAACGACAGGAACTTAAGTACACAGACCAAACAAGAATAATTAACTGCACATTCATAATCAACACAGCTCAAATGCTTCCTACCAGTGGCCCTCCTTCACAAAACGTGACATCTCGCGCAGTTTATCATGGATAGAGGATTTATGCACAATTTCAAACCTTTAACCCACGGGGGGAAATCAACCCACTGCTTTGGCCAATCACAATGCACTGGATAGCTGGCCAATCAGAGCACACCTCGCTTTTCAGAATGATGAGCTTTGTAAAAATCGACGCGTTTCAAAAAGGCGGGGCATAGAGGAGAAACAATAATGTACAGTATGTGGAAAATAATGTGTTTTTTTAACTTTAAACCGCATAAACACATTTCATTACACCAAATACACAAAATAATGTTCTTTTTAGCAGCATCATATGACCCCTTTAAAAGTAGCCCAATTCCATGGGGAAAAAAATACAGACTTGACAACCCTGCATACAACACAAGCTGCAGGAGTCAGATTTCACTGATCATGGGTCGAGAGTAAGAAGAGATGACTATTAAGACCATGGTGGATTTGCTGCTCAACAGATCCTGAGCTCATTGACAAATATCTTATCTTGTAAGATGTGTTCCCTTTACAGAGAGTTCACGTGATTCAAATCAAAAGTGAAATTAAAAGTGAAAGTGAACAGTGATCGCTCATTCAAAAAAGATTTCAATGTCCCGCATATGGATAGAGGCTCCCTGATGACACCAGAGGGCCGATTGATCCAGACAGAGCTGATGGAGGTGGAGCCCAGGGTGGAGACGGAGAGCAAAAGAGCCAGGGTGACACTGTAGGTCCGGAGAGTCAAGGCGGAGTTGACGACTCATGTGACTGAGGCAGAGGTGGGGACCCGGAAGACCCCAGCAGAGCTGGTGGGACTGCGGACAAAGGTGGATTTGGTGGATTTGCTGTGCACAAGGTGTTTGTCACAGCTCCAGACTTATTTGTTAATTAATGACGTCATCAGCGACTAGTCGACTTCGACTCGACTTTCATCACATAAAAGTTGACTTTAAAAAATCAGAAGTCGTTCAACCCCTAGTGGGAACTCAGGAGACGCAGGAGATACTAAGCTGGGCGGAACCAGCGGAGATGCATGAGCAATGTTGCTGGCTTGCGTACCTGGTCAGATGCATCTTGAGGCTTATTGGCTTAGTCACTTCCTCTTGCGCTGGCTTGTGTGTTTCAGTGGGCTTGGGTCTGCGGTCTGAGGTGGGCTCAGGCAATCGCTTCATGCAGTGGGGGGATGGCTGACTGGGCTCTGGATCGGGAGTGGGGCAGTTGAATTCCTTCTTTGCGAGGACGATGGTGAATGACTACCCGCAATTCACCAGCACCCACTCCACAAATGTGGCAAAGCTCACTGGAGGACCTTCTCCAAACAGCTTAGCCTTTGTCACGTTGCCAGGCAGCTGTCTGGGTAGTGCGTCAGGTACGCAAGATCTAAAAAATTTTCTTGTATGGTCCTCAAGGGAGCGATGCTCTTGCTCCAGGCAGGGGAGGCTAACTGCTGGAATTTCCATTAATTTGATCATCTGTTACATTTTGGTTGCTGTAACGAGGCACACAATGATGAAGAAGAAGAAACAAAGTCTTTATTCACAATTCAAAATGCTCAGGAGGTATCCAGGGAAACACAGGACAAATAACAACCACATAAACTGAAATGTGACCGAACAATGAACAGAAGAAACCCAGGGTTTAAATACTGTACATAGGCAGATAATATTCACAACTACAAACACATGAGGAATTAATGAGCAACTATGGAAACAGATGAGGGAATAATAGGAAACTATGGAAACAAACTAGTGAACAGAACTCAGGCAAAGCAAAACAGGGAACAGAGTGAACATGAAACAAAAAACAGACTATATATGTTACAAATACCATTCTGGTTTAACAAAAGTAAATTTTTAGAAATAAAAAAAAGCTACATACCTGTTCCATTTGTTTGTGCTGTTTTCGGTAAATACTTGACACTGAGTTCAACATCATTCATCTCTCTTGAGTCTGATATCCCCAGAAGGCCAGACCAAACACGATGAACCCTGAAGGAGCATCCATCTCATTCAGTGCTATGGTCAATCCAGCACCCTACTCTGGCGGATGACTGTAGTAGCTTCCTTCTACTAGCCCTTGGGGGAAGTCGTGGCCTAATGGTTAGAGAGTCGGACTCGTAACCCAAAGGTTGTGGGTTCGAGTCTCTTACCGGCAGGGATTGTAGGTGGGGGCAGTGAATGTACAGCGCTCTCTCCCACCTTCAATACCACGACTGAGGTGCCCTTGAGCAAGGCACCGAACCCCCACTGCTCCCCGGGCGCCGCAGCAAAAAAATGGCTGCCCACTGCTCTGGGTGTGTGTTCACGGTGTGTGTGTGTGTTCACTGCTGTGTGTGTGCACTTTGGATGGGATAAATGCAGAACACTAATTCCGAGTATGGGTCACTAGAAATGATATGTCAGGGAGCCGAGCCAGCTGGCCACCCAGTTCCTCTAAGTTTTCATCCCTGCAGTCCACGTCTTTCCATTGCCAGCCTCGTCACCAGCACTCTAAAATCAGACAGTGAGCCCATACAGAGCAGCGAACCCATGCAGTAACTTAATTTTCGCAGTGCTCTGCCAGCACCTCCATCTCTGGAATAGGGCTTGTGAATTAATGTATAAGATGCACTCAATAATTGGAAAACCCTTGGGAAAAGGAACTCTCTGATACAGTGTTGGTCCTTTTAAGCTGCAAGTAGTCTGCATGCAAATTGAGAACATCATCCTCCTGGTTTTGGAGAAATCCTCTGCTTGACATTCTATTCTGTTTTATTTATATAGCACGT